ATCACCTGCTAACTTGAGAAACAAGCTGAAACATGGGAGAAAATTAACTGCATCTTTGCACGCATCATCTTTAGATAACTAAAAAGACTGCAATGTTACAATCGAAAGCACAACTATAGCACATGGAAAGTTGTATATGTTAGTGTGTTTGCGTTCGTTTGTGTGTGTGAAGTGTTTTTTTTGTGAAGTATGAGCGCGCGTGTTTGTGTTACATTACATAAATATTTAAACAACAAAAAACCACAACTGACAGACGACTTCAGGCAAAATGACTTCATTTAAAACTTCTTGCTTCTGTCAGCAAATGTCAGAATACTGACTCAAAAAAATGTTAACAAACTTCAACGAGACAACATTTTAAGACGAAATAACTTTTTATGTTTTTTTTTTAATAAAATAAATTTCAATACATTTTATCTAGCATTATTTTTGAAACTCGCGTGTCACTTCGTTTCTTTGTTGTAGCATAAACCTAACATTTCAACAGTTCGACACATTCAAAATGAACTGACCAAAATGTCAAAATATCAATATGAATCCACTCACATAACACTCTCAAAAGAAAATTTTAAGTCGAAAGGTTTTTGTTTTCATTTTCAAATGTACTTCTAGAATGAATTTAATTTGGATCCAGCATCAATCACTGCATTCAATGACATCCGCATGTACTGCTTTGTTTCCGAGTTCAAATAAAATAACTGTATTATGTTTTTCTCAACCCATTTGCTTATTCGGAATTCAAATCAAAATAATTTACAATGAACAACACTAGCGAGGTAATTTTTTATATAAAAATCATTTTCTTATGCTTTGATTATAGATTAGTTGTTAGTAGCCCTACACTACCTTTCATTGTCCACTGTTACTACTGATGGTTTCTTATTAGTTCATCAAATCTGATTCAATCTCATCGCTTTGGATGTAATTTTTCAAGCAGGTCAAAAACTTTCAATTTTATCCTTTTAAAAAATTTGGATAAATTTCAATACAAACGTGTTATAAAAATTTAATAGAAAGCACTGCTAAATATTAGGAAAACTGAGCCAAATAAATCCATTCTCTCTCCTCTGCCAATATTTTATAAAAATTGTTTTCCTAGTTACTACTGTTAGCTTGAAAATACTACAGCAACAATACTACAGTAATAAATATCTATAGAGTAGGTTATTTTCAATGTTGGCTTGTTAGCATCCCATAGAAAGACAAACAAAGAAATGGAAAGAGTCACATTAGAAGAACCACACCTTGGTGGTGAACACATAGGAAGGAGCTAATGCATTTGAATGATGTTCTGCCTGCCCGTAATGAGATGCGAGTTCGTAATGAACAACCCAACATCAACACAAACAACATCATTAACTCTAAGAGAAAAAATAAATAAAAATTGAAATAAAATGTAATCAGCGCTGATAACAAAATAAACATTCACAAAGACACACACACACACAAAAGTCGTCATCAACAAAAAGTAAAAAATTAACAGCAAAACTAACTTCTTGAAACAACAACGATGACGACAAAAGAACAACATTAACAACAATAATCATATCAACAACATCAACAGAACTGACAGCCTGTCTGTCTTTGCCTCTCTTTTCTCTCCTTCTTTCTCTCTTCTCTCTCTTTCTCTATCTGTCTATATATCTAGCGATCTATCATAATCATCGCCATCACTGTCATTATCATAATCATCTTCATTATCATTAAAACCATCTTTATAGCCATGGTCATTACCATGATCCTCATGCTAGTTACTGCTATCATCATAACCATCTTCATAACCATCTTCATCATCAACCACTATCATCGTCATCTTAATGCGATTACAGCACTTAATATTAGCATCCCGCCAATGTGGAGCTCTTTATTAGCATGGCCAGATTACTCCTGCTCGAGATTAAAGTCATTCCACGTAGATTATTTTTTACTTGGCAAAACACTGATGCCGATAGATAGATAGATAGATAGATAGATGAAGAGATAAAAGAGAAAGAGAGAGAGAAAAGAGAGTTAGATAGAGATAGATGAGAGAGAAAAGGATAGATGGACAGAGATATGTAGATAGATAGATTGTTTTAATTAATTAGGAGCAATAGAAAACAAGAATAATGATGAAAGTAACAACAACAATGATGATGACCCCAAAAAAAATGTGGCACCAAAAATGCCATCATCATCATTACCACCATTGTGAACATCATCATCACCATCACAAACATCAACATCACTATCATCATCCTCATTAAACATCATCATCGGCCATTTCCTCGAACTAATAAGGCCCAAAAATTGCTAGCAGAAGTGGTACGTGTGATGCAGTTTACAAAGATCCAATTCCTACAGCGAACGAAAGAATGTTCTATGACGCCATAAGTAATATGAATCACGTGACGTGTATGTTAATGATAGGTAATGAAGATGACGTCTAAATTTGTGTTCCTAAAAAAAATGAAACACACAGAAAATCGTCAGCCTGGCACACGAGAAAAATATTACAAGAATATTCATTGACCGTCTTATCGACTCTTAAAATCAACTTCAGCGATTTTTCCAAAAGAAATTGAATATTCTTCATTCATCTTTCTACAGAAAATGGTGTTCGTTTTTGTGTTATCAAATGAATTTTTTTTTCTCTCTTTCTCTTGAGTTTATTTTCACAGAACTGATAATTTTTACACCCGATGTTCCTGCATCGTTTTGTA